TAGTCGCCCTCCTCTGGACACATTCCAGCTTGTCAACATCTCTCTTCAATTGTGGTGCCCAGAACTGGACACAATATTCCAGGTGTGGTCTAACCAAAGCGGAATAGAGGGGTAGCATTACTTCCCTAGATCTAGACACTATGCTTCTATTGATGCAGGACAAAATCCCATTGGCTTTTTTTGCCACCACATCACATTGTTGGCTCATGTTTAACTTGTTGTCCACGAGGACTCCAAGATCTTTTTCACACGTACTGCTCTTGAGCCAGGCATTGTCCCCTATTCTGTATCTTTGCATTTCGTTTTTTCTGCCTAAGTGGAGTATTTTTCATTTGTCCCTGTTGAACTTCATTTTGTTAGTTTTGGCCCATCTCTCTAATCTGTTAAGATGGTTTCAAATTCTGCTCCTGTCCTCTGGAGTATCCCTCCCAATTTGGTGTTGTCTGCAAACTTGATGATCATGCCTTCTAGCCCTTCATCTAAGTCATTAATAAAGATGTTGAACAGGACCGGGCCCAGGACGGAACCCTGAGGCACTCCGCTCGTCACTTCTTTCCAGGATGAAGAGGAAGCATTGGTCTTCATGTATTCTTTTCCAGTTCTTCTTCAAAGGAAATTAAACTGAATTTTTCATAGCAGATCATTTCACATTAAAGCTTTTCTTAAATTATATCCACAATTTTCATTTAGATGGTTAGTAGGTTAATGTTTTTTATCATTTTCTCATTATCATGCTGTCTCTCTTTCTGTATTTACATCAGCTATATTTTCTATAACGCTTGGAGTCGAGAGCTTTTCTGACTTAAGTATAATCTCTCAGTATGAAAATATTCATATAGTCCATTTTAAGAACTTTCCCTGATAACTCCTGAAGACCTGATTTCTCAAATTTCTCTTTCTCAAAGTTTTGTTCCTACTAGCCCACTTAGCCTTCTTTAATATCAGTCTGCTCTCACTCTCTTTCTGTGTGTACATCCATAAACACATTCATATAAATACCCATATATAGATAAATGATAGATAGATAGATAGATAGATAGATAGATAGATAGATGGATGGATGGATGGATGGATGGATGGATGGATGGATGGATGGATGGATGGATGGATGGATGGATGGATTTTGGTGTATATGCTTCTATAATTTCTATTTCATTAATATTATGCATTTTTCCATTATAGTTTCTTAACAATTGACCCATTCAATATCATCCATCTCTTAAATTTTAGCATACTGAATACAGAAGATAAACATATATTATTTATCTTATTTTTAGTTATCAAATCCTGTCATGGTCATCTTTTTTTGGTTTTTCAAAATGTCTATAAAAGGTTTCCATTCTTTTTATAGATTCTGCAGATTAGTTTGCTGTAGTGCTAAATTTAATTTGTCAATCTCTGCCATTTCAAAGACTTTTGTAATCCAGTCCATTGTCATTGGTGTAGCTTGTTTTCTCCACAATTTTGCATATTAAATTCTTGCTGCTGCTGTCATGTAAAGAAAGAGTATTTCTTGGTGTTTTGGTATCTGCTTATCTAATAATCCTAATAAAAATGATTTTGATTTCAATGTTCTTTTATTTTTTTAATACAGTTTCCATTTCATTATGAATTTTGATCCAGAAATCTTTAAACTTTGAGCAGCTCTACCACATGTGGTAGAAGATTCCTTTCTTCTGTTTACATTTCCAGTATAAGTCTGAACTTTTATATATCTTCACAAGTATGTACCATCCATATATCATTTTGTAAAACTTCTCTTTTATGGTACAACATCTTGTAAATTGTAATTGTTTCTTCCAGAGTTGTTCCCATTCTTCTAGGTTTGATGCTTGTCCTATATTTTTTGTCCATTGAATCACAGGCTCCTTTATTTATTCATCAGTTGTATGTTCTTCCCAAAGAAATTGATATATTTTCCCGATTTGTTTGTTTTTTGTCTGTAATAATAAATTCTATTAATTTTCTAACTCGTGTGTTCCCCCCCCTTTTTTAATCTCTGTTGTAGTTGACTGTGATTGCATTTTGCTGTTATAACGTTTTAATTGAATATGTTTTATGATGTTTTTAATGATTGTTTTGTGATTTTATTGTTGGAAACTGGCCCGAATCCCCTGATAGAGGGGAGAAGACCAGTATACAAAATTGCTAAATAAATAAATAAATAAATAGTGGAACCAATTCATCGTTGAATCTTGTTTTTGAAGCTCTTGTAATATTTTTAGTTTCTATACTGTTCCTTTTTCTAATAATTGTTTGTAAGTCAAATGTTTTCTCTCATTGTTCTTAATTGTGGAAATGCCTCTTGTGGTTTAGTCCATCGAGGTCTTTCTCTGTAGAACTTGATTGTATTCTTGCGTTCATCCATGGGCCTTGAAGATCAGGTTTGAGTAGTGACTAGGAATTCATTTGCAAGTTAAGTCTTGCACAAATGTGTGTAAATTCTCTATCTAATGGCCATGCTTGTAACTGAAAACCCTGCTGGATTTGGGAGTTGTTGTCCCCCAGCATCAACCTTGGTCATTGCTGAATAAGGACCTCTTCCCACAGGGCTTTTTTGTGCCCCTTTTTCTTCTTTTAGTTGAGGCCTGTCAAGCGTCATCAAACAACACTGACTTGGCCCTGCCCATATTCCTTCCAAAGTGGAGAGGAAGCATCACAAGACGCTTCCCCTGCCACTGATGGAGCTAGCTGCTCTTTCCTCTCTTTTTCCCATATAGTGGGGAAAGGGGCAATGTGACAGTGCATGTTGCCACCCTTTCTCCCATAGGATGGGGACAGACCGCCAAAACACCTTGTCCCATCCCCACCATATGATGGGGGAAGGAGGGAGGGCACACGGGGTTCACAAGTCACCCTGTGCACCTTCTCTTTTGCTGACAGCTGGTGGCGAAACAGCATGGTCCCAAGGGCCATGTGAAGAGGTGGTAAATCAATTTCCTTTTTTGCCTTCAACCTGTGCATCTTCATTAGATCTGTTTGGAGCTCTAAAATGGCAGGAGGACTGGAGATTTCAGACAATTGTTAGATGGTTTCATGGAATTTTAGGTTTGTAAGAATATTGGGTATAATTACTTGTAATCTGTGCTGAAAAATATGGTTGTGTGATTATATCTAATGACTGGGATTTGAAAAAAATAAAATAATACATTTTCAAAATCTTCACTACATGTAGATTTTTGAGACAAGACATTATTGTGTCATCGCATCTGATGGTGTACTCAGTGCTGTTCATACCTTCATTACCCTCGTAGTGACATGACTGCTGGTACAGATTTGGCCAAGTGATATCATTGTGGTCAAGATGTGGTCAAGATGGCAAAGGTTTTTAGTCAGGAAGAACCCCCAAGCTAGAAGAGGTTTCAGCACTTTGCCTTTGTGTGACTCTATTCTTCTTCTCTCCTTGCTCCTGAGTTACGTAACTGAACACAAGCTACTTTTGCACTTTGTTTGCAGCAACTGAAGTAATACAAAGGGGAAACGTGGGAGGAAGAAAGAAAGCTGGGACATTTTTAAAACAATTGAAAAAGTGGGACAGCAGATAAATAATAGGGACAGTCACCACCAAATCAGGACAACTGCAGAGTATGAGACCTTTTTATTTTGGCAGTCCTTCAATGGATAATTGCTCAAGAAAGAAAGCTTTGTATAATGTGCTGTACTTTTTTAAAAAATAGGCTTGCTTTTAACTGTTTTAAAACCTATTGTTTAATTATATTTTTAAATTTTTGAATTATAACAAGTTTAAAGCTTCATCTCTTGTGATTTGTAAGCTGCCTTAAGGTCTAGATTGGAGGAAAGGCAAAATATAAATAAATATAACAGAGGTAGTAACGACAAGAGTTTTCACGTGATCTTTGAAGCGGAAAGTTTGTGAACTGAATGTAGACGACCCAGTTTTCTGTGGTTGCTTTTAGAACACAGACTTCACAGATGGCTTGGCAAAAGGCTAAGGCCATGAAGGATGCTTCTATCTATTGGGTATTTAGCCAGTTCAATTCTAAGTTGAAGTTTTAAATTAGCATAAACCAAACTTTTGTGCATTTGGGGTGAAAAGGTGCTGCTGTGACTTTAGCTGGCAATTGATCTATCTGTATTTCTGAAGTCCATCTTAAGCAGGAGGTCCTTTGCAACCTAGTGTGATCTTGAAATGACAACCAATTAATATCTACCCCAAGAAAGGCTCTACTTAAAGTGAAAAAGCCAACTTTTCTCCTGGGCGTTTGCACCATCTGTGTCCCCCACCAGATGCCAGCAATGCGAAAACAGACATGAAACATCTCCTAATAGGTGCCAAAACCCCTACAGGGAGAGGCGAAAAATAACCCTCTCTCCCCAGTAGGGAATAATAAATACCTAATCAAAAGCTCTTGTGAAGCAGCAGTGGGCCGCAGAAGCAGCGGGGTAGTGGGTGAGAATGCCAATATGGCTGCCAGAGCAGCCTGTCTGCTGTCTCAAGCTGTTGGCAAGAGCAAAAGCTGATCTCCAGGCAAGGCCAGCATTTGGAAGACGTTTCCTGGTGGCCAATATATGCTGCTCTTGGAGAAAAGTCTGCCAGCAAAGAGAAGCTGCTTGTATGATGTCTATTTATTCCCATTCTACCTCCTCCGCCACCACAATTTCTGAGCATGGGTGTTCTTGTGTGTCTCCCCATATGACTAATACTTTTCTGTCCGTGTCTATCTCCCAAGACTCCAACCACCACTACCACTCGTCTGCCTGAATCTGCTTTCCCCTCCTCCCCATGTGTGTCCTCACTCTGTTATCTCTGGGATCCCGTGGGTGCCTTTTTTATTCCATCAGTTGCTTCATCCTTATGCTCTCCTTCTCTTATCTCCCCCTCCCCTTCTTCCCTGCTGCCTCAGCTCAGTGGGGTCTGCAGCCAGCACTCCTGTTGCTCAGAGATGAGGAGGCAGTTGCTAAGAGACAGTGAAACGTCAGCACCTGGCCCTCAAGGAAAAAAGAGAGAGGGAGGGAGGGAGAGAGGGAGGGAGGGAAGGGAAGAGAGAGCAGGGAGGAGGGAGAGAAGGGGAAGAAAGAGGAGGAGGTGGTGGGGAAAGACCTGGCTGAAATGACATGCACACACACACACACACATGCATCCAGCACCGGCAGCTGTGAGTGAGTCCATGAGAGGCTGACATTGAAATTCCCTCTGCATCTCCTTGCCTTCTGGAGGCACAGATGAGGGAAGGGTGAAAGGAGGCAAGAAGAGGCGGAGTGGAATGGGAAGACACAGTCCTTGTCACGAAGGAGGCACCTCGATGGATCAAGAAAAGTCGAGACCAGAGCTGAGCCGAGCCACAAAAATTGGAAATATATAGATGTACATTTCATCTCCTCAGAGTAAGTATCTTCTTTGAAGAAAAGACATAATGAAGCACGGGGGGGGGGGGGCTGCATGCTTACTGGGTCTTGGTGAGAAAAGTAAGGTTTTGGTGTTCCCCATGTCCCGTGAGCAGGGTGTGTCTTTAGTGGGGTGAAAGTGGATGGTATGAAAGTGGATGGTATGGAAGAAAGATTGCATCTACAGTGGTGTCAGGAGAGAAGGCAATGGGTGCAAAGATATGCAAAAGATAGAATATAAGCTCAGAGAGGAATATGAGTAAATTATATTTTTTGCATGTTTGTTGTTCAGGAGACATAGGAAATGAAAGGAATCGGGGAAGGAAAGAAACAAGAAGAAAGAATTAAGAGAGGTTGAGATGATGCTGAAGGAAGAAAGCTATGGAAGGGGAAAGAGATGTTTGAAGAAAGGGATAAGAATGGAAGTATAGTTCAGGGAAGTGCATGTGTCACGCAGTGAACGGAGGGATCATAAATAAAAGAGAAGTAGGAATTCTGAGAGATAGAGCCATTTCTCCAACAGAACACAATTTCAAGTTCTCTGCTGCAAGAGGCCCAAAGGTGCTTCACATCTCAAGGAGGCACAAGATGCCTCAGTAGACCTCTCTGGGTGGGTGGTGCCCTTGGGCCTGGTATGAAAGATGGCAATGTAGGTCATTCAGACTAAGATGTGTTGACAAGAGCCATGTACTATCTCAGTGCTGCCTGATAAACAGGAGTTAGACACAGAACAGAAATGTATTAAGTCTGCCACAAGTCTTAACCAACACTAAAACAGGAGTTAGTTGCAGAACTGAAATGTATTACTTCAAATTAGTAATACAAACCTCAAACTAGTATTTTAATTTGTTCCTTTGGCCTTTTATGATAAATTCCTCAACTGGTCAGGTGAGCTGTGACATATATCTAGTTCGTGTTCCAATTTTCCCCTCTGCATGAAATAGCAGGGGTATAGAAATAAAACTACATGGAGTCCTCAGATAAAATACCATAGATAAAGTTTCTAAATCCAATGCTTGGTTTGTAATTAATTTACAGTAGCTAATGTTATAAATAAGACTAAAGAAGGAAGTAATCTTGTTGAGATGTCAAGCTGAACACATAGGCAGCTGATAGTTCTCATTTCAGTGGGTTGCTGTACTCATATTTGGACTACATCTAATGTATCAAACTACAGTCGGTCCCCCACATTTGCAGGCTTCACTTTTGCAAATCTGATTATTTACAGATGTGCTCAAAGCAATATCTCTAGGAGTATTCAGATCCTCCAATGAGACTCTATGATCAACCTCCACCAGAGGTTGACTATGGAGTCTCACTGGAAGAACTAGATTCCTAAAGAAAATAGTTTTCTGGGCATTTTTTGTCATCTAACATATTTCCATAGACTCATGCTGGAGGACCAAGGGATTCATAGAAAAGTGTTCTCATAGGGGGGAAAACCGTGATTTTCTTTAAATTCACATTTTCCTACTTTTGCAGACATCCCACATCCCTAACTCCAGAAAAAGTGGAGGGCTGATTGTATTTCCAAACTAGATTCAGGACCATAGACAGCTCCTTTAACCTTTGAAATAAAACCATAAACAGATTCACGGAGCCCCTGATATGGGAGAAACCAGCCACCACCAGTTGAATGCACAAGGATTACAAACTAAAGGATTGTGGTCCCAACAGGATCAAGTTCAAAGTTGATCTGTGACATCTTTTCCAAATCTTTGATTTGTATTATGTTTCATTGGCAGGTTACTCAGCAAGAATTCTGCTAATGTCTGCTGTGAACGAAGGACAAACGAAAGCATCACATCTTGTGTCCTGGCCCTTTTATTTTATTCAGATCCTGTGGACATTTCCTCTCATATATCTGGGACAGCATTTTAAAGAAAGAAACACCATGTTTCCATGCTGTCAATTCTGTGGTATTCTGTGGCTTTTTGGTACTTCCAGAGTAAGGAACACTCCCATAAACTGAAAAATGACTGCCAACCTTCTTTCCAGACAAATGAAGTTGTGGACTCCTTTGTGGCTTGTGTCCAGCCATAGTTCCTCCTGACCTTTCCAAGAGAGCCTCACCAAGACATCTCCAATTCAGCAGCACGCTTATTAAGAGTATACTGACAACTTTATCAGCAATGGAACATGGAGAGCTCTTAAAACCTCACATTTCATTTATGAATGCTCATTTCTAAGGACACTTCCATAATGACACCTTTAACAATGCCTCTAACATCCTTTCCAATGGCACCTCTTCTCCTCAAAGAGAAAATGCTGTCAGTTCTATAAAACTGCAAGTGGATGTACTAGGACAGCAAAATTTATTGGACACATTATATATGTCTTGTGTGACAATGAACATCCATGAGAGCCATCAGCAGGTTAAGTCTCCAATAGATAACACAGGGTAAAAAATGAAAATAAAAAAGATTCTCTTAATTCAAGCTCAAGAGATCCAAGAATCAACAAACACTGGGTAAAATGACCAACTTTGTTTAAATATGTTTCTTTTTGCCATGCATTTTTAATTTCTCCATAGACCAAGGCCAGGCCCATCAAACAGCATGTATGCTGGTAGACATCTTCTCTTCAACTTGTCCACCCACAGGGAAAGATATTCAGGCAGCTAATTAAGTACTAAAGGTCATCAGCTTCTGGTCGCATCAGAGCTCTTTTATGGTACATATCTCTATAAGTGCCTCAAGATTAGGAGAAGTTAGGATTCAATATCCCACCTTTCTTCCAGCCAGATTGTAGCAGGCTTCATGTGTACTTGCTCACATTTGCTGGTTTCTGTCTCCATCCATTGTTCTCCCTTCTGGATTGGCTTCTTCTCTACCATGTAGCGTTTACCTTGCCAAAATGAGTGCAGACTGTGTCCAGCTGGGGGGAGAGCAGTTTGCACCCCACTGCTACCCTGCCATGATACTGAACCCTTTCCTTGTAGCAGTGGTGGTGGTCTTTGCCAGTGCTGTCACTGGCTGTCCAGTTCTGTGCACATGCCGCAGCCAGGTTGTGGACTGCAGTGGGCTTCGGCTCTTTTCGGTGCCACCAGATCTTCCGTTGGACACTCGGAACTTAAGTCTGGCTCACAACCGCCTCACAACTATCCCTGCTGGATACCTTACATGCTATACTGAATTGAGGGTGTTGGACTTGCGAAACAACTCCCTGGTTGAATTACCTTCTGGACTTTTTCTGACCTCCAAGCGCCTGTCCTATCTGGACTTGAGCTACAACAACTTGACTCAAGTTGTGGCCAATATGTTCCAGGAGGCCTACAATCTGGTGCATATTGACTTGAGCCACAATCCATGGCTGAGGAAGGTACACCCCCAGGCTTTCCAAGGCTTAGTCCAACTACGTGACCTTGATCTCAGCTATGGGGGGCTCTCTTTCCTTAGCCTTGAAGCTCTGGAAGGTCTCACAGGCCTGGTGACTCTTCAGATTTCAGGCAATCCCTGGGTGTGTGGTTGTACCATGGAGCCACTGCTGAAGTGGTTGAGAAACAGGATCCAGCGGTGCATGTCAGGTAAGTGAAATCCAACAACAGTCCATTTCTTAACTTTGGTTTGGGCTCTCTTTCCTGTCTCACCACATAACTCTTTACCCCTCCATCTGAAGTGAGAGTCTTCTGTTCCCCAGGCAGTCACTGTGAGACTGTGAACTTTTTCACACTACAAAAGCACAGCACTATCATTCCACTTTAAACTGTCATGGAAATATCATGTGAAATCTTGGGCTCTGTAGTTTGCTAAGAAGCACCAGAAGAGTTCTCTGGCTGAGGATTCTGAATGCATCTTCCTAAAGCACAAATCCCATTATTTTATAGGATGCAGCCATGCCTGTTAAAATGAATTCTCAATACTATGATAGTGTAGTGTGAAAGGGCGCCTAAGAAAATGAAAAGTTACAATTTGATCATCCCAGGGAAGGCATTTGGTTTTTCTCACTCCAATTCAAATCTGGCATTATTAGAAAGTTTTCCTATATTATTTACTAGAAATTATTAGAAATTATAAATCAGATGATAAACTGTTGCCCTTGCTACAAACAGTTAAGAGATATTTGAAATTTCACCAAGGAGAGAGACAGTGTGTGATAGTGTGTGATTGTGACAATGCAGTACTTGGTTATACCTACATTTACTATCAGTAAAGAATGCTAGAAATAAATTGCGTTCCTCACCTGTTTGTTTAAGCTGTTGATCTAAATGGCTCTTTTAGAATCACAAGGCAAAGCAGGATAATTCTTAAGGAAGACCAGCAATACAGAATCATGTTGAGGCTCCTGTGAGGAAGTAGAACAGAATAGATGTCGATTGAAGAAGTTCCCAGAATTTGCTAGAAAGTATGGCCTTTGGTAGAGTTATGGGGCAAAAAAAGTAACTTCTCCATGCTCTGGAAATGGATATGAATTGAAAGACTAGCAGGGAATGCAATTTTCCTGCTTCTTGACAAGGAGTTGTATTGGATGGCACATGAGGTCTCTTCCAACTCTATGAAAATGCATCAGAAGTAGAGGAAAAGAGCCAGTAGCAAAACACAAGCATGTGTTACCTTCCTGGGTCCTTTAAGCAATGCCACCAGGAAAAACAGTATGATAGTTATGTTCAATGAAGGCGGCTCACTGAAGTACATGGTCATGTGTTGAACTTGCACACATTAGCATAACAAGGGGTAGGATAAGCCCTGGTTGATACTTGGGTGAGAAAGTGCCAAAAACTGCCAAGTGCTTTAGGCTCTGTTTTAGAGAAAAGAACTGGCAAAATCACCCCTGAGTATTCCTTGCCAAAGAAAACCCTATGGAATTAATATGGTCATATGTCAACAGGCACATAAACACACACACACACACATGTGCCCTAAAGAAAATCAGTGTGGTAGAAGCAGTCAGTTGTTTGATGCCTGACTGAGCACAGATATTGTGCCTGTGAACCAAACTGAGAAAAGGAGAGTCTGTTTATTTTTCATTTTCCTGTAATAGTGATCTATGGAAGAGAAGTTCTAAGGCAGGGGTCCTCAACCTAAGGCCCGGGGACCGGATACAGCCCTCCAAGGTCATTTACCCAGCCCTCATTCAGGGTCAACCTAAATCTGAAACTACTTGAAAGCAGACAACAACAACAATCCTATCTCATGAGCCAAAACCAGACCAACATTTCCCATTGAAATGCTAATAAGTTTATATTTGTTAAAATTGTTCTTCATTTTAATTATTGCATTGTTTTTAAACTACAAATAAGATATGTGCAGTGTGCATAAGAATTCATTTATTTATTTATTTTCAAATTATAATCTGGCCCTCCAACAGTTTGAAGGACTGTGACCTGGCCCTCTGTTTAAAAAGTTTGAGGACCCCTGTTCTAAAAGATAGTGTCATTTTAAAAAAATGCTGAAAAGGCCAGGGCAGAAACATTCACGGTGGGTCCCCTGAGGCCACCATAAGGGTGGGATCTCTGAACTTTCCACCTGGGCCTGTAGGACCCAGGAATGGAACACAAGAATCCTGTTAAGGTTTGCCAAGGTCACACAGTTGGAATCCTGACTCTGAGGTGGTGTTAGATTGTGATTCAGGAGGGTTCCTACAGCTCTTAAAAGTGTGACTGGATGAGACAAGAGCATGAAGAGCACTGCTTCTGCCAGAGGGCAGTGCCAGATACATCTATAGCCAAGCATGCTTGGAGACTCCTCCTGCCTCTGCCAGTTCCTACTCAGACAGCAATGTCACAGATTCTCCTTTTGTTAGAAATAATGCAAGTTTGGGCTAGTTCACTCATATTATGTATTTCACCCCTTTATTATAGGATATCCTGAAACAAAAGGATGGTTCCAAAGAAGCATATTAGGGGTGCAGTGGCAATTCTAGCCACATCCTCAGCCTCTGGCTACATAAGAACCCGCAGATTCTTCTGCAGATTTTCATGAGCATAGTGACAATCACTTCGTTGGGGTGTAGTCAAGAGGAGAGGGCCAAGTGAGGACACTGTTTCTCCAAATAAGAATTCTACACACATACACAATTGAATTCTAGCTTTTTATCTCCAAATGTGTAGCACTGCGGAGAATGAGGCATTGAAAATTGTTCGCATTTCGAATGCATACATTTGCTGCATTTGCATTCCCTCAGTAACTTTGTATGTTTTTTTTCTTCGGATGTCTGAATTGTACTTCTAAATAGTCACCTGATTTGTTAAGTTCCTGCAATGGTAGAATCTTAAGGAGTGACAGAAAACTTCATTTGGGATCAGAACTCATTCCTGACGTTCCTCACAACCTCTGAGGATGCAGGTGAAATGTCAGGAGAGAATGCTTCTAGAACGTGGCCATACAGCCCAAAAAATCTACAACAACCCAGTGATTCTGGCCATGAAAGCCTTCGATATTAGTTTGGAATAGCATACACACCTTAGAGACTGAAAAAAGGTGGTAGCATAACCTTTCATACCCTCTTTGTTCTCTCAATTAGTCTCTAAGGTGCTATAAGACCCCTTTTTATTTGGGGTGACAGAATTCTTATCTGTGTAAAACAACGCCTTAAATTTGTGTCTCCCCACCCTCCTACCCCCAGTTACCTCCCTACAATTTGTCTGTCTCTAGACTAGAAGCTATAGAAGACTGGCCCTAGGTGCAACTGCAACCGCCACCCCACAGAAGGTTGTTAAGGGACACAGGAGCATTAGAACAAGCTCTCTGGACATATAGCTGGTTATGGTAATGCTCACAATACCACACAGTTGGAAACTTGACAACCAGCATTCCCTATGATTAGATGGCCACGTGGGGAGTTTTTCAATGACTACATCACTATTCTGAAAATGGTCTTTTGAGACCACTCAGATACATTCAATCCATTAAAACTGAATGGCTGTCAGAGCTGAATGGAAATTATATATGCTGGGCAAGCTGCCCTTGTGATGTGCCATCATGCTGTTTTCCTCACTTCTCTTGTGTATCCTTGTAAAGTGATGGATCCTCAGATTGCATGAGGAATCATAAATAAGCACCCTCTCTCTGTGTCCATGCTAGATTAGTTCTTACCTAACCTTCATGCTTATTTTACAAGCTGCAAGCTAGAGATTCTGGAGACAGGAAATCCTGCATTCTTCCTTGCCTTAACCATAACCCTTGCATCCTTGTTACAGCTTTTTTAGAACATTGATTTTATATAGCTGGTTATGAAGGGGGCGGTGGTCGCAGAAGGCTTGTGCAAAAAGAAAATTCCTTTACTCTTTACAGTAGTTTAAGCAGAGAAGAAAATAAACACCTTTATCCAGATGTAGCAGAAAATATAGTCCTTCAACATTCAAAATAAAATATAGCTTAATTGAGCGACTTACTTACAAAACAAATTGTCCTTTCCAAAGAGCATTGTATCAATAATCTGCAGGAGAAAAATAACAGAGCTCGACACCCCAACAGCATAAAATCATAGAATCATAGAATTTGCAAAGAGCTCCAAATGGTATATTCAAACCTCTGTAGTTATACCCTGTTGATTGGAGCAAGAGAAATCACTTGCATTTATTAATCCATGCAACACCCATGCATGTGGACCCTTTCTTTCTTTACCTATACATCTACCTTAACCTTGGTGTTGATCTTTGCAAAAACTCACCCAGTTTTCTGTATACCTTAACAAATTACAGGCAAAGGGTTACAGATTTGCATGGTCCCATCCACCCCCATCCCCAACTCAACCATTAAACCAAAAAACGGAATATCTTTTGAAAAATTCTAACTTCAAATCCCTCCCGTTGTGATATGCAAGGTCTTTATAAGAAAGGGTTTGGGGAAAAGAGAAGAGGACATTTAGAAATGCACACACATGTACATTTGTAGTCTGAAGAATTTCAGTCTATGAACTGCACAGTGTGACACTACTAAGTCTGAATTATATATAACAATGAAATGTAAGGAAAGGCCAGAAAATTAAAAATGGGGATGAGACCAAAGAAAGAAACATGAACGTGTAAGATGAGTTAAGGTATATCTGGTAAAGTTTCAGAAGGGGTTTTCAGTATTGAAAACTCAATACGAAAACATAGTATGAAGTCTTGAATAGAGCAAGGGTGCACAACCTGTAGCCCTCTAGGTGTTTTGGGTTTCAGCTTTGGATTTCCTGGCCATTGGGCAAGCTGGCTAAGACTTCTGGGGGTTGAATTCACAGGTTCTGCACCACTGGACTAGAAGATACTTCATCAAATGCATGAACCATCTTGGAGATATTCTAGATATAGAGTCAATGAGAAACTGTGTTAACAGGGTTGTTGTAGGTTTTTTCGGCTATATGGCCATGCTCTAGAAGCTTTCTCTCCTACTTCTAGAACATGGGCATATAGCCCAAACATGTCTTCTATGGACATATAGCCCGAAAAACCTACAATAACCCAGTGAAGCCAGCCATGAAAGCCTTCAACAATACAATGTGTTAACAGGCACTGCTAAAAGCAAACTGAGGTACAAAGAGACTCAGTACAGTGAAAAGGATGATGACGATGGTGATATTAATTCATATCACACTTTTCACTCCCTTATGAGAATGAAGGCAAATGCAAATGGTAAAAACAATGCAGTTAAAAACAAAACAAAATATTCAATAAAGGTAAAAATATGAACATTATTTTAAAAAACAAACAATTCACTTGGTGATGGAAGGAGAGCAAGACAGGGCCACTCTGGCCTCTATAGCGGCTCCTCCACACAGCCCTATATCCCAGAATGTCAAGGCAAGAAATCCCACATTATCTGAGTGTGGAGTAAGATAACCTAGTTTAAAGCAGATATTGTGGGATTTTCTGCCTTGATATTCTGGGATATAGGGCTGTGTGGAAGAGCCCTAGGGAGAGAGTTCAAAGTCTGAGAACTACCAGTAAAAAGGCATACTCCCTTGTTACAAACGAATGTGCTTGAGACAGGACAGAAACCTCTCCACTTGAACTTAGACCCCTTCCACACAGCTATATAACCCAGAATATCAAGGCAAAGAATCCCATAATATCTGCTTTGAACTGGGTTATCTGAGTCCACACTGCCCTATATTCCAGTTCAAAGTAGATAATGTGGAATTTTATACAGGTGTGTGGAAGGGGCCCTTAGAGCTCTTATTGGCTCATACATGGAGATACAGTTCTTCAAACAGCCTGGACACCAGCATTTAGAATTGTCTCTGGAAAATGGGCTGCAGTTAGTTGATCTATTGTAACATAGAAGTTATGTGCTCCTTGTTACCATCCTCAGTTACGAATATGACTGCAGTTTTTGGGGTCAAGTAAAGTTTTGAGCATATTTATTTATTTATTTATTTTTGTGGTATTTGTATACCGCCCTTCTCAACCTCGTAGGGGACTCAGGGTGGTTCACAGTGTTGGCAACCAATGCCCACACATTAACCCACACAGAGTGTATTACAGTAACCCAAATGGGATGTAACTAAACCATGTGTTACTGTGGCTAGATCCAACTTCTCCAATAATGGGCATAGTTGATGCAACAACTTTTAAGTATGCAAATGTACTGCTTATCACCCTTGAAACCTGGGCTTCCAGGCTCAGTGCTAAATCCAGGAAGTCCTCCAAAACTGTGTCTGTGTTTTCAAGGAGAGTGTAACCCCATCTAATACAAGCTGAATCCATGTTTCCAGGTATTTTTTTAACCGAAGAGGGATTTAATATTTTTTGTCCTCATTCGGTCCATTACAGCTGCCAAGTCCCAGTTTAGAACAGAAACAGCTTTCTTCGAAGTAAGTGGAACAAGATAATAGAGTATATGGGTATGATCAGCAGACTAGTGACACCTCAAAACTTGGAGCAATCTTTCCCAGAAGTTTCATGCATCATATGTTAAATAACATAAGGAGCAAAACAGAATGCTTTGGAACTCCAAAGATCAATGGACATGGAGTTAAATAGGAATTCGCCAACACTACACTATGAGACTGCCCCTCCAAGAAAGTCCCACCCCAGTGAGGTGATTTAAAAGAATACCATGGTTAAGTGTGTTGATAGCGGCCAAGAGGTGCAGCAGGACTTCATCATAAAGGTCTTTGCAAGCATCATAGGAAGTTTGCAGCACAGCTGATCTATAGATCCCTACACCAGCCATCACACGATGCACATTCACTTCTGGCGGGGCTCCATAGATCAACTGTGGTGCAAGTATCCTACGACGCTTCGCCCAGAATTGTGGAGGGTTCCCATGTTTCATAGGAAACAATGGGGCTAGCAGGAGGGATGTGGTGCGGTAACATTTTCCCACGTGATGGGGAAGCATCGTTATGGATGAGGCGGTTGCAAAGGGTGCTGGGATTATTTATTTATTTAAAAGTTTTGTATATTGACCTTCTCACCTCTCTTGAGGGACTCAGACCGGTTTCCAACCATAATATCACATACAGTCAATAAAACATCATAATTCATATTACAGTAAAACATTAAAACAGCAATTACATTGCCCCCTGGATTCACAGTGGAGGCTGGCAAATCACCCTGCTTCCCCTCACCAATGTGATGAGGTCCTTAGATCATACACCAAGGTAATCAAAGCTGTCCAGACCTGAAATAAGACTGAAATAGATCTAAACATTAATATGTCTAAATACCAGATATATTGTCTAGGGATGTACCAATGAAATTGGGTTGAAATATAGATGCATGTGGATTCTGATGAATACATAACCCAGCTGAGACACATCCCTTTCCTACTAAAAACCACAAATAAATATCTGGATCTGAAGTTAACAAGTACTGGAAAAGCAGTGCATTGGATGAAAAAAATGCATTTTTTCAGATTCATGATCACTTGTATTGAAATGATCAAACTGCTATTTCAGTCTTTACCTCAATTCTCCATCCATTAAATGGGACATCGCTTTTGGTCTTCAAATTAAGGCCAATAAAGTTTTTGTTTTTTAAAAATAGTGTATCTAAAATACTAAAATAATAAGAAATAGTCATAATGCTGATGAAGAATTGGAAGTAATTTCATCTGGAGATACCCTGGAGAAAACAGAGTAACCAGAGGGCATGAAATCTGGGGTACCAGAAGGAGGCAGAAGTGGCTGTTTTTCCATATGAAATACATAATTGTCAGATGCTGTATAGAAAAGCCTAAATATGATCATGACCTGCATAGTTCATGAATTCCAGAGGGGAAGTGCTAAGCAGTTCAGAGATATAACCTGCTCTCACTTTTCAGATTATTTTTTTTGTATATGCATACATGTGTATATTATCCCAATCTTCTTTCAGATACACAGCTGGCAGAATGCCGGGAGCCACCTGAAGTGGAAGGAGCCCCCTTGTTTTCCCTGACAGAGGAAAGCTTCAAGGCCTGCCACCTGACCTTGACACTGGATGATTATCTCTTCATTGCCTTTGTGGGCTTCGTGGTCTCCATCGCTTCAGTTGCCACCAACTTCCTTCTAGGCATCACAGCCAACTGCTGTCACCGTTGGAGCAAGGCAAATGAGGATGAGGAGATATAGCCACGTGGCCTGATCCTTCCAGCTCCTGCATTGCTCACTGCCAGGGGGAGCCAAGGGCTATCGTGTTCAGGGAAAGCAGAAGGACTAGTCTTTTTCCTGCTCTGCCATTTTCTTGAGACTTCCCCCTCACCAGCCCTTGTATAGCAGCACCGGACCAGACCAGTCTTTCTTACTGGAGACAGGGGAGAGGGCCAGCGAGAGCAGGGAGATTGAAGTGTGCCTTGTATAATCCTCTTTGCACTGGAAACGCCCAGTGAGCCATGTCTAGAAAAGTGACAGGAAAGCATCAATAAGACATTTAGACCATTCTTCATCTTTTGCTCCAGCATGCACACAGGTGTGCATGTACATGTACACACATTGTATTCATGTGTACCTTTTGCACCCTTTTCAGTCCAAGCCTTGGGTTCACAGCTGTAGCATTGAAAACATTCAAATATACATGTGCATTCATGTCATATTCAACTACCAACTGATGTCATGGGGAAAAATCAAAAGGTTTTTTCTACTTAGGAGATCCAAAGCTTTTCTTTTTTTTTTTAGCATCCCATCCCATTATGGCATAGTTTTGATAGCTATTCCTCTTTAGGTTGGAAGAGCTACATTTTAACCATTCTAACAAGTCCCAGGGGCCCATAGTTTCCATTTATTTCTACATGCAGTGGTTTCATTTTTATCAGGAAAATTTTATCCAAGAAAATTTTGAAAACAAAAATGAGGGCCAGATACATCCACAGTTGAAAGCGATTATTCATCCCCATTGCTGCAATTTGCACAAGTGTTTGCTGGGTCTGCAAGTGGCCTTTTGTTCGCCAGATGTTGATTTAGGTCAAAGTGTTTCTGGTTTAGGGTGGAAACCCTATATATAGATTGCACAGGGAGAATAATTATGCTATAGCAAAGGAAATCTTATAATGAAAACCCATTGTCTCCACAATGTCATTCAAAAAGAAAGACAGTATGACATTTAACGAAGTTGGGTTGGCAAGTACAATACTTAGATTAAACTAGGAGCAAGTGTAGTTTAGGATATATAAGACTGACAAAGTTGAATTGGGTGTGTACATTCAAGGCTTGGCCGTAGATAAGAAAAAAGGGGAGTTTTTATTCACTTCAAAGATGGAGTCCCACGGAGCTCATCAAATGGCTGTTTCTGGTGGTTGACCTTGGATTTTGTTTTTAAAGTGTATGGAAAGGGGAGGATTATGAAGTCAGAGAGAAATCAATTCCACTGCTCTACCTGTCCATAGAAATGGCTAAAACTGGGTATTTTAAGGTGGGATGGGAACTATTGTTAAATTCTCAGTTTTCTTTGGAAACAGAGGACCCCTGAACATCACATCTTGAACCTCTTCAGATGTGTCGGCGGAGTCACCGCAGTCTGTGGTAATTCTAGCAATACACATCCAGGGACCTGGGAACCTATCACCCCACGCCCCGCACCATCCTGGCTTCCCCACTACGTTATCACATGGAGGGAAGTGTCCATCAGCTGGCTTGCCCCGTTGAGGGCAATGCAACTGTGGAAAGTGTCCCATGTTTCCACTGCCAGTGTTGTTGTTTTTTTACAGTGATACCAGTTCTGCAGCAGTTTTGCCACAGAGCCACCTCAGAAGTACTTCTCCAGGGTGTGATGGGAGCTGTCAGGCTCCATGGCAAAGCTGCCGAGGAACTGGAGTTGCTGCCAAAATTTGCCCCCTGTGAAGAGGTCCTTAGAAGACTATTTTCTCCACTTCCCCCTCTCCTTGTGAGATGAGGTTCTATGAAGAAAACATTACTACTGCAGTGAAATAATTTACCTGGGTGGCAAAATTGAGAGAATAAAATGATACATGGTTAAAATACCCTAACTTTGGAATTATGAATTCTTCATCATATCTGCAGCTTTGATTTTCTTCAATCCTTTTTGGAAACATGTATACATATTAGAAGGTTTTATCAGTTTTATATCCACTTAACTGTCATTCCCCAAAAGATCTTGAGGACTTCAATTTGGCTCAAAGTTGCCAAACATTCACTCGAAAAAATAAGGAGAAAACATAGTATCTAATCATACTGGCCTTCAGAATTGCCATGCACCATGGCAAATCTGTCCGTGCCCATCAGGGGGCGTGGGGAACCCATCGCCTCACGCCCTGCATCACCTGACTTACCCAATCCCATGGGGGGAAGCGTCCACAGTGCCTGGCTTCCTCCTGTGTTGCTGCCATGGCAGCATACACTGTTCTGCTACAGTTTAGCCTTGGAGCTGTATGTTGTGGAATGGGAACTGGTAGGCCTCGTGGCTAAACTACAGCAGAACCAGTGTATGCCACCAAAAACACTCCACATAATGTCATAAGCCTGTGGTGTAGGTGATAGATACTTTGTGCATTTGTAGCAACTTGGGCCTGGATTCAGGGCTCTTTGTGATTTGCTCAAAGCTCTGGCAGCAGGTGGTGCTACAAGTTAGGATTGAAAGCATGATGTAAAATTGGAAGGAAACATGAAGCCAAGCTTGGGGAATGGCTTCCCTTGATCACAAAACAATGAAGCTAAGAAAGTTCACAGTGAAAGGAAGAGAGAGTGACTCTGGCAGTTTACTATCCCAATGCATTTTATATTCCTCCATACCCAACCCATTGTGTTTACTTTTACTCTTAGTGATGCAAAATCATTAAGCCATGCCTATTCTAATGCATACAGAAATTATACATTTGCTTATTTAAAGCAATGTATTTTCGAGGATCATGAAGGATGCCAGAGCCAAGGGAAGCAACATAATCTAAAGAGTTTCTTTGTCCAGTATCCCATGCAGCCATCATTCTACAAATCCAACTCCTCAAAAGAAATAGACTGATGGATACAAGAAAATCCGCTGATGACACATTTACTGCATACAGACACACCCTGCTAATAGTGCTCATACTGGTGAAGCTGGACCAGATGTGAGGATTCAGATGCCAAACTAAGACCAACCATAGCAAATGTTCCCAGCAGGGGGAACCACCTTATAAAGCCTATAACCATTTCCTAGAGATTTCTGTGCGTGCTGGCTATAGTTACCATACTTTGGAACTTGTGGGATCAAACAAGGCACTGGATGCTGCTGGGGCAGGGGAAGGACTGGCAAGACCAAGGGTTTTGAGGGTTTCTACTTTTTTCATTCACCAAAAATCAGGAAGATAGCAGGTAAAAAAAACTGCCCCTAAAGGGCAGAATCATTTCAGAGTGCCCTCATACAGCCATTTTTTTTCCATTTAAGCATTCTGGGTTTTTGTCCCCCTAACCACTTCATGATGAAGTCTACTTGAAGTTGAGTGTTCTTACATGATCTAAAGTAATCAAGGTGAGGCAACCCACATCAGGCAGATGATTTCAGAATCCCTTTAGAGTAGTAATCTGTCTATATTATTATTATTATTATTATTATTATTATTATTATTATTATTATCACTTTACTTTAACTTTACTTTGCTGTTTCAGTGCCAAACAGCAAAATGTCTTAGGCCACCTCTGACACCATTAGGAAATTGAAAAAAAAAATTAGAAATCCTGTTAGGCAGTTATGAATGTGCAATCACCATCATTCATGGTGAATCTCCCCAGTCTTCATTTCCTGGGCAGTAGGTATAAATATCAATGTCCGTCTGTTCCCCTGTTGATCAGAAAGCAGCTGATTGATGGTCCCACGTCCTCCCATGAGAAATCTCTATTCTCGCCTTGAATCCCTTCTTGGGAGAAAAATTGAATGTTAATTCAAAAATTAATATAGTAATAATCTCTCACCAGAGATTACTCACAAGGAGGAGAGAGGCTATCAGCCAGCTGCTTCCCAACTGACAGGAGACTTGGAACTAGGAAATAATAATACAAAACTAGGAAATAATAATACAAAACAGTAATGAGTGTGCAACTCCAGGATATACATTCATGACTACCCAACAGGATTCAGGCCAATAATATGTTTTGTTCACAAAATCTCATGTTGACACTGATCTCACCACAGTGACTTGGGAAAAAATAACACTGTGATGGGGAAGGGGAGAGGAGAAGGAAAGACTTATGCAGTTTCCAGAAAATGTCTGGAAAACAGTGGATAACAGGGCTGAAATCAAATAAGCCTTCATTTACTAGGTAGAATTGCATTATGTTGTTGTTCCCATATCCTGTATAATTTACTTGTATTTTGCCAACATGAACTGCAGAAGAGGGGGTGCTTCACCTGAGGATCTCTGTCCTGGTGCAGTCTTCTTTAATGATTTTAAGTTAATATTATTGCCATTCTACTTACCAAAGAGGGAAAGAATGATCCATTTGTAACTCATGACAGCTTTCAATTTCAGACCATGAGTTCTGATTTTGTGTCACTGCCCCTACAGCAAGCATGGGCAACTGTGGTTTTCCAGGTATGGCTGGATTGTACAACCCAACAGCCTAAGGAAGTATATGCAATGGCAAGGAAGCATGGAAGTTGTAGGTCAGCAATATTGGAAGGGCCACAATTGCTCAAGCCTGCTCTGTAGGTACAATAGACACAGTCACAGCTCATGTTACTCTACTCAAAAACTTCTTTGAAGAAAAAAAATGCTAAGATCTGTTCTATGTCTACACAGAAATGAACTTCAGCACTGCCCTCCATACCTATTGAGAATAATATCTGCTAAGCAACAATGAGTCAATTCCTGGTTTTTGTAGTTTTATACAGTCACAGCTCAAAAAGGATAATCATAGGAAAGAATTGCTTGATTTGTCCAACATATCTAAATGTCATTCAAATCGTGAGCATTGTTTATACATGCCAGGGCTCTAATATGCATTTCCAGGTGGGGTTTTCATCATTGGTCATACCAACATTGTTGGTTCCTGTTTCAAAAGAAAAATGTGGTCTCCAACTAAAATGATCATTGTTTGCATGTCAGGGAGTAGGACAGCAGTGTCAAATGGGTATGTGCTTAGAACACAAGTACACATTCTGCAGACATTGAAACAGTCATGTGATTGTTCATAACTTGCCCAGTTAATAACTCAGCGCACAGTTACTGCTCCTTTATAAAGCTGGTTTAAAAAGGGTTGATCATGGCACAATAAATATGAGTTGAGGTATACACTAGGCAGGATTTGAAGTATGCATGTAAGCATCTCTACATGTGACAATCTCTGTATATATCTTGCCAGCGTCCAGCTGCGTGAAGTAAATAGTATCATACAGAGTGAAGAACATCAATGTCTCAGAACCCTTTTTCATTGAGCTCATTTTGAGAGCATATAAAGCCAATGCATACCTGCTCTTCAACTTTCTGTTGCTCAAGTCATAGCTGTGATAAGATACTTGCTGAAAGGAACCTAAAAGATCTCCATGCTTCTGGGATCTACTTCTATATATACCCATGTATAAGTCCAGAAATTTTAGTCAAAAACTGACCTTAAAAACTTGTGTCGACTTTTCCATAGTTCAATGTAAGCACTGTACTTTCTTATAAAAAAAAAAAGAACTATATCAGTCTACTCTGAATGATGAAAAGCAAGAGCTCAGTCCATCCTGGGCAAACCTTTAAAAAAGTACAAACCCCTTCTACTCTTTCTGCTGTGATGCTGCTTCTAGTCTTTTTGAATTCCTGTATGGGAAAATGGAAGTGGCAGCCAGTAGTGGATGACCCACAGTGACAGCTCTGGCACTTTGCCCTCCCCACAGAATGACTTATCCACAGGCCAGATCAAAATCCATAATTTTGGCACCAAAACCTGTCTTCAACTTTTACATGAGGTTGACTTATACATTAGTATATATGGCATTTCTGAATGAAAGACATAAGTGCCCTCTTACATGTCAAATCTGAATCTTAAAAAAATGAAGGGGGGATGACAGTACAAAAGAACATAAAGAAAATAAGCCCTGGATTATGTATATTTTAGTGGTTCAGCTATGTGTACATGGTTGGCGTGGGATCAGACTGAAAACGGATGAAGAAAATAACAATTATATTAGTACCACTGGCCATTTCTATCTTTAATATATCCAGTGAAAAGCAACAACTAAGCATTAGGTCTCCTAGCTGAAAGAAAAATAAAACTTTCACCTTGTAAACTCAGCAGTTGTTAAGTCTTCTTTGGTGTGAAAAATCTCCCCCTCCAAATGTTATGGGTATTATTATTGATCATTGACTATGAATCATATGTAATACATAAAGCTGTGTGTGTGTGTGTGTGTGTGTGTATCAGGAGTGACTTGAGAAACTGCAAATTGCTTCTCGTGCAAGAGAATTGGCTGTCTACAAGGACGTTGCTCAGGGGATGCCTTGATGCATTGATGTTTTATCATCCTTGTGGGAGGCTTTTCTCATGTCCCCGCATGGGGAGCTGGAGCTGACAGAGGGAGCTCATCCGTGCTCTCCCTGGATTTGAACCTCCAACCTGTCGATCTTCAGTCCTGCCAGCACAAGTGCTTAACCCATTGTGCCTATGGAGGCTCCATAGATAAAGCTAATTCTGTGTCACAGTCTGTCCTCTACTGTCTGTGCATGAAAGTGCTACTGATCCTCTCATATTGTAAGGAGTACATGCTATGCCATAAAACTCTGA